CCAAAAAAAAAAAAAAAAAAAAAAAAAAAATTCCGGGAAAAAAACTAGGTTATGAAGAAAAATAAACTGCTTCAAGGTCGCATCGAAATTCCTCACCAAATTTAGAATCAAATAATAAAAAATTATTAAAAAATAATAAAATATATTTTTTTATTTTTATTTTTTATTTTTTTTGCCCGGCCGGTCAAGTGACCCCGGGCCACTCTGGTAGCCTAGGTTTTTTAGTGTTTTTGAGTTTTTTTTTTTTTTTTTTCCTTTTTTGCCTTTTTTTTTGGTTTCCTTTTTTGCCTTTTTTTTCTATGTTTGTATTATGACCTTGCATTGCTTGATTCCAAAATGTGCTGAAAAAACCTGAATTTTCGGCCTTCCTTTAGCCATCTCTCAGTGTCTTGGCCAGAGGTTGGACTACTTGTGTGCGTGGCCAGTAGCATCGGCTGCCGTCTTGTGTCTCACACGGCTTCGAACTGGTTTTGCCACCTGGTGCACTATTCACTTGCCCACCCACTGCTGAATGCCGATGCTGAGTGGGACCTCCACACAGCCACAGGCTATCATCCCCTGCAGTCTTTTGCGTGACAACATTTATGTTATCTGCTATGGCTGGCCAGCATTGAAACCAGGCCAGCCAACCATAGCAGATAACATAATAAATGTTGTTGCCCCCACAGGCCAGATTCCAGCCCAACCCTGCAGGTGACCCAGAAGATGGAGATCTGAATAGGCAAGCTGAGGGCAGGGGCAATCGTTGGCCGCCCACTATCTCCATTGATCCACCCCTGGCGATTACTCCCCCAATCAAAATGAAAATGATCCCACCCTTTGATTATTTGGAGTGCCTAACTAGAGATGACATGTCTTCAGATCGCATGCCAAGGCCATCGGAGATATCATACTCGCGTCTTCGGATCGCATGCCGACAGAGTGTCAAGACCGAAATGAGTCGACCTCTGCCGTGTAATCTGCAAAATCAAATGATCTCTCAACGTGCTACAGCAAGGCCACCGTCTGCATAATCAGAACTAGACTCAAATAGTGTTGGGGTTTCCTCACTTACGCTTGCAACCCCAACACACTATTTGAGTCTATTTTGCAGACAGTGGCCGCTAGATAGAAGCAGGACCTTTTAGTTGGTCCCGACTGGGTGCGTCGGATGCTTTAAAGCGCTAGTGCCTCCACCAGTGTTGGGAAATTAGGGAAAACGGGCTGTTCCCGAAGAGTTCGGAGGCCGGGCCTGATGATGGCTGCCGTTGATAAATCTCATCTGCGGCCATTGTTTCATTTTGGCTTCCTAATAAAAGGTGGGAGGGCTGTCCTTCGGGACATCCGTTAAAATTGGAACGATGCAGAGACTGAAGATTGGCATGGCCCCTGCGCAATTAAGGATGACACGCATAAATCGAGAAATGGTCCAAATTTTTGTAGGTTTTCTCTCACGTCAAGTTGTCTAATGTCCATGCATGGCACTTATATATATATTTTTTTAAAAAAGAAAAAAAAGCCAGAAGTTTACAACTCCCCCGATCTCCGGAGAATCTGAATACACGTGTGTACATCTTGGCAATGCATCATCTGGGCCCCACTTCAATGCTATTATTATTATTAATTTATTAGTATTATTACTAACAAGTGGACCCACCGCAGCTACGCTGCGGCCGTGTAGGGGGAGCGAAGGCGGAGGCAGGAGTGAGAAATTCTGGGTGCAAAGAAAAAAAAAAAA